ATAGGTTTGAACTATACATTTTGTTTGCAACGATTCAGCTGCGTGATTCATTGTAACGACGTATAGYTTTCRGTTAAATAAAATGTAGTATACTTTCTGCCACGACTTTTCCATCGTATAATTGCAGCTCATTCATTAGCTGCATATAACACCTCGAGCCGACGCAGTAATTGAGTTTATTTTTTATACTCAATTTACATGCAATCCCTATAAATCATAATATATATGTTTTTTTCCCTCAGTATCGCCTGAATGTCTGCAGATTTGATGATTTGAACATCTTGATTGCCACTCGCATGAGGCTCCAGGGCAACCCCACGAACGATTTCAACTATAGGTTGTGATATTATATAACCGAACTATTCCAACGAAACGATGTTCTACGAAATAACTAGGTTGGAATATGAGTCCAATCAACAAAATTACCTCAGTATCTACACGTGATTTTTACCAATTATATCGAGAGRTGTTGTTGACGTGTATTTGTAAAACAAACCAAATCAAAAGTGGCTATTTATTTTAATCAAGTTAAAATATCTGTTTATTGACTTGTAACTTTAACCATTTAAATTATACATAAATATTAAAATAAATGAATAATGATTATGATTTACTCATCATTCTTCAATGCCCAGAAACTGTTTACTGTTTTTGTAACTATTATTATCTGCTTTTTTAAACAAACATTTTGATGTATAGTAATTAAAAATACTATTAATATCATGTTMAAATCTAAACAATAACAGAAAAAAAAAGATCTTTATCTAGCCCAAAACAAATGTTGGTTATGATCGCTAGCATGCTAATACAATACTTGATATTTTTCCTCTTTGAGGAAACCCTATGAATCATAAATGTATTTTTGTTAATAAGTTAACATGAAAATGAAAGCCTTAAGAGAAGTCGTCCAGAAACAAAAATCTTGTGCTCAGYCCGAAAACATATTTGTGTTAGGCGCTTTAAATTAATAATTTATAAATAATTATAAACAATATATCGCGTCGATATGCGATGTTTAATCACTTCGAGTTCTAATTTTGATCTAAGCGAAAGATACCATCTGCAGTTATATTATATCATGTACGTACATGCATCTTATATAGGTATATTCACAAATGAAACTCGTTGAAAATCAATATGYGTTTATAATAATATATGTATATATAGTATRTATCATATACCTAGACATGTATAATACACACGAATTCGGTGGTCCAGTATAATATATAACATCGTATCGGAATGTGTATAATGTAATTATCATGGAGTGTTAATTTATACAAATGTGACGTATACGTTTGGAAAGTTTTTCGCCTCGAATTCCCGAAAATATCCTAACGTGAAGTGTGGACCGCGAGGTGGGAACTGTGGAAGGCATAAAGTCGTTTGCGCGCTGGAACGATTTGTCGCTAAAATATTGTAATTATTATTGTATAAAAATATTATTATATTCATCACACTATGTACGTATTTCTATTATTTGCAGATTYTATACTATTGTATATAATACTAGTTTTCGTTGCCCGGGCCAACCATTTGTATGAATATTTTTGTAATATAGTAATAATATAAATTATAATGTTTTATCAATGGCTACAAACATACTAATTTCTCTTATTACTACTATAATCTGTAAGTTGTAGCAAAAAACGACTATTTATAAATAAAAATGTTCATCGTAAATATCGGAATCMTTTCTTAAGTGTGCAATAAAAAAAATTAAGAGTCGCTTATCGTGATAATAATTATCCTATCCTTTAAGTTGGATCAAGCAAGAGACATTTACAAAATGTCATTAAAATCGGTTAAGTGGTTTCRAAGATATTAGCGTGATCGAACGTCATGACATGATATTTTAGATGATTTTAAGATGGTCCAGGACTAGGTACTATTTGGCTGCTATGTCGCACATGTGGCATGCATATAAGCATTAAACATTAATTAATTCTTTCTATCATACACTCTTGTTAAGTATTTGAATTTTTAGTCTTCAAAAAATCTTTTTCTTTTTATTGTCGTGTTTCAACGAACGATTATTGTTTAATATATTACGGACATCTGAAATACTAATGACACCAAGTATTTAAATACGTATTCTGAATAGACATTTGAAAAGTATTCTTAACAAGACTGCTTTATATGTATATATATATATGTATGCTCGATGCGTTATATTTTACATACCTACGGGCTACGACTATATCCGACCGGTTGGTCTATTTAGAAAAATAAATAAATAGATACTAATATTATAATAGCGATAATTTGTTAGGTCGTGGTTATGTAAACGATGATCCGGCAAAACCAGATCACACCACGTCGTCGACATATATAATACACACATTACATTATTATAGTTATAATACATAAGTGCCTATATTATATTATATTATTATATGCATGCCGCCATCGAACTGCATTTAATATTATGTATATATCAGTGTAAGAAAATCAGTTATACATTATTGTATAATTGAACGCGTTTAACGATAAATTCGTGTATGAAATCGTATATATATATATATATATATATGTGTGTGTGTGTATTTTTTTTAATCTCCAGCCGTTGAGCAATATATATATATATATATATATATAGGTAATGCGTCGTTATCGAACGCAAATGGTCGCAAACTCGATTTGGACGGTAATTGATGCGGGTGATTACCTATGTATATATGCATAAAGGTACGATTAACAATATAATATATTATGAGTCGGTCGAGTCGAGGTGGAGGGTATTATCAGCAAATACGAAAACGAAAAGCGACATACCGCCACTGATAGTCCATATAGTAATATATCACCGTATCCATAGTGCGCCAAAACGTATTTTATAATATATTATACTCATTTTATATGCATAAAAATTTGATAATGATGTGTTCGGCCGGTTCGGGGAATACAGTATGCGCAGATTGAAAACAATAATAATAATATGGAAAAAACCGGAATACGATAAATATAATRTGTGCTTTTCATTTTTTCACTTTCTATCCGGTTGGCCGACGAATTATATTATATAGGTATTATGTTATATGTCAGCTGTATGTACATACCATGGCAGATGGCCACGGAAATTATCCTATAGGGTTCTTATATTCGCCGCCAAACGATGATCATTGATCAATATACAGGGTGTAACAGTACTATTTGACAAATATAGTAATATTTGTAATGGAAATTTGTTAAATAGTCCCGTTACACTTCATATATTCCCCTTTACACCAATCGGGGAGGTCGTGAGGAACTGGAAGAAAAACGGGTTTTGACTGGCTGCATCATAGGTACAGTGTTATGGTAAGTCCATAGTAKGCTCCGTCCACTGCTTTAGCTCTCTATATATGTATATGTTATGTTATGGTGGTGCGCATACATATATCATGCATGTTATAAGTTGTATTATTTTTCGTTTCAACATTTTATCCACCAAAACCGGTTCGTGTGAGTGATTAAAAATCGAGAGTAGATATCTGTGTATGCATAGTATAAAGTTATAAGGTAGTGAAAAAATATCGGAACTGAAGGGAAACTAAAAAAAAAAGTCATCAATATCGATGCCCACGCCTAAACTTTATAATAACTAATAAGGTCGCGGGCGCAGCGACAAGGAAACGGCGGTACAATCAATGCACATGTAACGARTTCGAAGACTTATCCAGAGTTGTAACGATCGTCGCTGACTCGTCGACTTATCTCTATCCYGTGATATCGTGTTTATCAATTTATTCGTGATTTGTATTAGTGAGGTAATGGAATTTTTAGATTCCGAATCGTGGAAGACGTTTAATTGATTTTTACGTTTTCGCGTACACATAAAAAACAAAATAGCAATATTTTTACAGAAAAACTGCATCGTACACGGGGCTAGGCCAATCKATTTAATAATCATTGCATTATTATTATGCGTTGCGGTGTGCAGATTAACACTATCGATGATCGTTGACATATTACAATCAATTGAATACGCGACGCAATGCGTATAATAACACATTTTTTATGTAATAATTAAATTAAAATTCAATTTTACATTAGAAAGGTTATGCGCACTACGTGTGTTGTACTACCGGCGATTCTCGATTCCGATTCGCACTTGCGATTTCTATTACGGCAGATCTTGATAACTGTATTATTAATTATTATATATTGTATATTATAGTTGCAGCGTGATTTCCCATGGACGTGATTTGGCACGGCTAAACGTCGATGAACATTCGATAGTATAATATGATATTGTAATGGTAAAAACTCWATGCATCGTCGAAGGATGAGTTGCATATTGCATATAGGTACCTACTACAGTTGCAGCACCTGCGTGGATGATATACATGATGGMATSGACGAAAGAACAATAATTTAATTTTTTTAACAGCTGGCTATCGTGTAAATATAATATAATTTACATTATAAAACAAACGATTTACGAARAACATTTAATGCACGATCGAGAGGGTTATTATGAASACAYGAGCTTTCAAAATCTACCACATATAAAGTTACAAAATGCCTCTAGTACGTAGACGATCACATCCCATCCTCAACAACATCTTAAATTATGTAGCACTCTAATCTGACGCGGACACAAACATAACATATATATATATATGATTTGATTTAGTACAAAAAACAATTAACTTATGTTCCTGGCATTAATTAGTATGAAGAAAAAATTAGACGTAGGTACACCGTACACCGTTTAGTCACGTCGCGCGGCGAGTCAAAAACCTAATTAGACATTGCAGCGGAACTTCCTTGATTTGCATATTGTTGTTTGAAATCCGCACTAGGTAAGTATACAAATAGAAAATTCACAACACCGGCGACGACGATTATGCGTTCATATTATTATAATAAAATATCGTGTAACGCGCAAGACAGACGATTATAAAACGTCATAATATTATTTCATCGACAAATTATAGGTAAAAATAAAAATAAATATAAATATAATAAAAGGTCTCCGAAATATCGTGATCAAACCGATGTGCGAGAGTACTTACCAGATCGAGATCGACGCCGGYCATGGTGCGTGGTCCCCGCGATGAGAGTCAAACTGTAAATAACAACGGTGAAGCGATCGCGGCGCACAGGTAACAGACACTATACACACTCTCGTGCTCACACACACGCACATACACATTCACACGCAGATTCCGGTCGGGGGGGCTGGTGAAGGGGTTTCGGCGGCGGCGTTAGCGGGCTTTTACGGTGCACAGAGGGGCAGGGAGTGTGTGCGCGCAAGCCAGTCACCCGAAGTCGGTCGGTTAGGTTCGGGGCGATTAATAAGTGAAAAAACATAATCATAATAAAATTAATTATTATTGCAGAGACGTATGACGATAAAATATTTATATTTATATTACGGTGATAAAAAATAATATTCGCTGCTGTTGAACCGGGTCGTCTGCGGCGGTGGTGTACCCGCGGGTGCGGTTCGACCGGTGTCGCCGGTACGCGCCAGACTTCCGGTAATCCGGTGAAGGATAAGGATATCGTGTTTGACCGTCGATAGAAGAGTTATARATACACACGGGTTTCACGCTTTATTCTGGTTCGTGCCGATATCCGCTGTTCGAAATTCAGTACGGCGAGTACCACATACCTAAAACGTCACGGAAATATGCGAACGCTATGGAGACAAATATCATATTATAATGACTTAACCCAATTTCATTTGAAATTCTCGTAAGCACATTGTGCAAACACATATTAACAAATTAAAAATAGTGATAATCGTGAATGGGTCGCAGATTATATATATTTCAGTAATTATATCATAATATGATGTAGGTATAAGCAGTTGACGGCAATCAATATTCTTGCGTCGGCGACATCGCGTGGCAACAATATTAAAATACGTTACTTAACTGTCCACCGAATGTTTATTAAGTATTATATATCAACCGAAAGGATTGAGGTGACGCAATGACTATGGTTTRAACTATAGTYAAGTATTTACTATAACCAATAGCATTCGACGTGTTTAAAAGATCTAAGACGAATTAATAGATTTGTTTTTACCCAATCCTAGATTTTTCTCCTTTATAGTATTACTTGTGCAGTTGCAGTATAATGTGGGACACGAAACTTTTACTTTGAATATTAACAATGTCATAGGTATTTATCTCGCCAATGAGTCAATATTTACTATATCGTATTATARAAAACGCGCGTGTGTGTGACAGCTTATCGCCAATCATTGCACACTTGCATGTTGATATATTATATTAATTATTGTGCACCATTATATAGTAGCATATCTCATGATAAAACATTTATTGGAATAAAAGTGATATTATAATATAGTATTATACAAAACGCCCTTTGCTCTTTTCGATCAAAAGTACAAAACCCAGTTCAAGAAACCTTTGAATAATAGGTACCTATATGAGTATTCATAA